TATACCACACACCAACCACACACACCACACACACTACACACCACACACACAAATCACACACACACCACATGCCCCCCCACACACACGCAGCCCCACACACAACACACACACACACACACAACACACACATCACATACAAAACCCACACAGAACACACACCACACACACACACCATGCATTGCAACTCAAATCAAAACAAACTGGCTGATGCTTTCTGTGATGGAAGAGTTTTTTAAAATATAGTGGAAAAGCAAAGGGTGAAAACATTTATTCTGATGGAGAGATTTGGGGACCCCCTGAAAAGTTGAGAATAATGCACTCAAGATATAGAGGCAGGAAAATGATCTGGGAATAGCAAGGAGACAGGTGGCTGCAGGTGAGCATGCGTGGGGACAAGAGTTTGCTTTCTGGGGGCTCCGACAGGCCCCAGGAAAGTAAAAGCCTCAATTGTTCCCCAGGTTCACGGTTCCCATGTTGGGTCCCAAAATCAGAGGCAGAGGTAGGGCTGGAGGATCTGCTAGCACAGCTGAACCTCTGCATGGACCTGAAGGGCTTGCCTGTTATCACTCTTTCCCGCAGGCTGAGGAGCGTCAAGATGGAGCAGAGGAAGCTGAGCGACCAAGCCAACACCCTAGTGGACCTTTCCAAGGTGAGTGGCAGCGTCTGGAGACGTCCCCTAGAATACAAGACACCTGAGTCTTCTCAGTCGCACCTGTGAGTCCTGGCCAGGTTCACACCGGCCTTTGCGGGACCAGGCAAGCAGAGAAAACTTTCCGCTTGGTTCAGAAATGTCCAGGCTCAAGCTGGTTCCATTTGCAATCTACTGGTGTATCCTGTGGTCTTTAAAACTTGGCTTTTGTTTCTTAAGTGAAATTGCTCAGGTGTGTCTTTGCGTGGAATTAATGAGCTGGCCGACTAAACCTATTCGGTGTCATTTTATGAGCTGCACATAGAGGGACTGCTGAGGTTGGGCTTGTTTGCAGCGCTGTGAAGCACACTAGCGAGGACCAGACAGTGACTGTGGCCGTGCTGACTGCCCAGGTCACGCCGATTTGCTGTAATACTTGGAAGTTCATTTTTCTGCATCCTCCAATCCTTACCAACCAGCTTTTCTGGCCTCAAGTTGGTGACCGTGGTGTGTGTGTATGTGGGGGTCATGTCTTTATTTCTCAAGAGGCAGATAGTCTACGAGAAACATGAAGATACCAAAAAAGAGCGCCTTCTTTTGAGAACCCTAGGATATCAGGCTTGCCATCATTCTGTCACTCTCTGTTTCTGGCCCTGAGCTGCCATAAATACTGTAAAGAAACTCTCTCCTCTTGCAAATCACCCAGGTGAGGGAGCCGAAGGCCGCACTGCTAGAGCTGGATTGGTGCCGCTGAAGAAAGGGCCTCCCCTCCTCAGCCCTCCCTCCTCACTGCCTCTTGATAGGAATTGTATATTAAGTGTACGCTCAGGGCCAGGCTGGTGGAACATTCCAGCAGATGTCAATTATCATAATGGAACACATTCCCTGGGTAAGCAAGAGACACTCCCTCAGGCACATTAAGCACCCCTTGAAAAGGATGCAGAGAAATCACTGTTGTGGGGCCATGTGCATGTGCCTTGTTCATTTAAGGGACTGAGCCACAGAAAGAGCCTCCTAAACCTGTGAGGACTTCAGTCGGGCAGTCAGTGGCTTGGCACCAGTGGGGAGAAGCCCCCAGGCCTGTGTGCCTTTGGAGGAGGGTGTTCACGTGGAGTGCCCCGTGGTTCCTGGGAGCATGGGGTGGGAGTGGAATGTAGGCATGCAGGAGAGAACTCCCTCAGGTTTTGGGTGTGTTGGTTTTAATATCAGAAACCCGCTGGGACTAGGTTTAAAAATGGAGAAATCTATTCTAAGGCTAGAAGGGAGTCTCATTCCAGGCAGAACCTCAAAGGAGGCATGTGGCCAGACTGCAGGAAGGAACTGACTCGAAGCAGACCTGGGAAGCCCCCCCAGCCAGGGGGGAGGTGAGGTCCCTCACCGTCGCTACTCCCTGCTTGTGTGCGAGTGACTGCTTCCGTTCTCTCTCCCTCTCCCTGTCTCTCTCTTCCTTTCCCTCTTTCTCCGTCTTTCTCTCCCTGTATGCCTCTTGTCCCCACAACAGACTGTAACAGGCTCCAATTCAGAGAGTACCTATGATAGTTTTAGCCGCAGGCAAAGACTCATTGGCCCTTTACTGGTCTTAATTCTAAATTCTCAGAAGAGATGATTGGCCAATTTGGTTCATGTATCCACCCTGGGACCAATCAGCCTTGGCCAGGAAGAGGGCCATAGAGAGCACACAGAGCCAGGGGCCCACCTGTGACTTCAGGAATAGCCCACCGACATGCTCCAGGATGCTTCTTCCACAAGTAGCAGTGTTTCCTGTCTCTTCTCTCACTTTGCAGGACACACTGTGACCGATGTTCCCTGGGGACATGGGGCAAACCCAACTTTCAGGCCTGCATTTCTGCAGCACCACCCATGGCCTCTCAGAGACATGGGGCCCACAGAGTAGACCAGGTGAAGCGAACACCTCAGTGAACTGCAAAGACACTCCTGTGACTTGGGTGGGGGAACTAAGCCATCGGTAACCCAGGAGCAAGTTACCTGGGAAGAAAGAGTGTGCAGGAAAAGGTTGAGGGAAAAATCTGCAGAGCAAAAGGTTCGCAGGAGGCAAGCTCTGACGTCCCTCCAGTCTTTTCCCCCAAGGAGACTCAGCCAAGGTCCTGGCAGCAGCTTAGCACACTTCACATTGGTCCGCATTCCCCCTGGCATCCTGTCACCAAGCAACAGAGCAGGCGAGATGATAACACCGTGTTCTCTCTCCTTTCTGTGTGCTGTAGCCTCCCAGCTCAGCGCCTTCCCACTCCTGCCCTTTGGTCCTCTCTAAATTAGGAATATGGCATGTGGCCTCCACATATTATGTCTGTATTGAATTGCTGTCCTATAGGCTGGCAGAGCTGGGAGGGCTTGGAGTCTTTTCCTAATTGCTTCAATTACTTCAGTTGAAATGTAAAAATGATTCCTACCTTCGGAGGCTCAGGTGATCGAATAAGATGATATCTGTGAAAACGCTTGGTAAACTAGAAAGGTTTTGCAAATGGTAGCTCTGATTATGAATATAGATGAGGAAACCAAGACCCAGAGGAACAAAGTGACATCCCACGGTCGGGCAGTTGGCGAGCACCAGCGTGGAGGCCTGGGCTCTGCACCCAGAGCTGATCAGGGCGCCCCTGCGGTCAAATGAAATGAGTGGCTTTGCACATTCTGGAAAAGTGTGCACCTCGAGGGGTTCTGTCATGTTGATTAATAAAGGGAGAACTTTCACTTCTAATGTCGCCCTGTCCTCCAAGGGCACTCACGACACAGTGTCCTGCTCTGGCAACAGCACAGCTCATGGGAGCAGGGCCATCTCCATGCTACTGCTCAGCCTTTCCTTATGCTGCCCAGTGAATTTCCCTTTGGTGCATGGAGTCTTCCGGGGAGGCTCGCCGTGTCGCATCCCTGCTCCCTTCACTCTTCTGTGGCGTCTCACATCTTTTACGCCTCTTTTTCCTCTCATCTTCCTTGCTGCTGCTTTGGTCCCTGGGGCACAAATGGTTTCTATATCTTCCTGGAGTAACCTGAAATTTCAGGTGAAATACGATTGGAGTGTCACTGGCAGATCACCAGAAACCCAAAGAGCCTCGGTGTCTTGGGGATGACAAAGCAGCCCCCAGCCTGGCCCTCTGCATTGCCACCCCAGGAGCCTTACTCCCTGATGCCTGGAAGGCTAATGTTCCCAAGTCTAATGTGCACAGCCAGGATGGCATTTGCTAATTTGCTGGGAGGAAAACATCCGTTGCATAGACTGGAACTCTGCAGACCAACAAGGGGGCCATAGGGTATTGGGGAAGGAGCACCGGTAATCGGCCAGCACCCCTGGAACACGGGGAGTCAGTGCTGAGGGCAGGAGGGGCATTGGGGAGCACACTCAGGACCCCTGCCAAGGAATGAGGGCCACTGGATTGGTCAGAGGGAGAGTTTGAACTGTGAGACAGTCAACAAAGACCTCAGCCAGTTGGAATGACCCTTCAGGGATGTCTCACTTGGAGGCCTTGTGGACCAGGCAGGGGAAGGGCCACCCTCAGCAAGCCAGCCCCCTTTGGCTAAGCACTGTGCCTGGGAGTTCATTCACCTTACATCCTGGCTGCCGTGTTAACATGGAGGTTGGGGGATATGCAATAACTCCTAACTGTGTATAGTCATTCACTCCAATTTTCTAAGGCAACCGAGAGTGAGAGAGGCCAGGTGCCGGGCAGAGGGCACGTTGTCACTGAGCTGCAGATGTGTACTTAAACCCTGGTCTACTAATCATACATCTATGCACTGTCCATTCCCCACCAGCAACATTTCTGGAATCATTAGATGCCACCAGCCATGTGAGCTGAGAGGTTGTGGCCCTGTAAGAACATGTGACAGTTTAGAGACTCATTTTATTTAAAGAAAAAAGGGGCCACCTTTTCCCTCTTGGCACATATTCTCTAATAAAACACTGGCATTAATACTCATTACTTTCGTAATAAGAAAAAAAAAATGTCCACACTTCAGCCTCCCTGTCCCCAGGAAATAAACCTGTGTCTTTCCTTCGCCGGATCAGCTGGTGTGGAAGTGGCTCCTGTCATGCTGTGGAGGGCGTTTCATTTCTCCCAGTGCAGATTCCTCTGTGATGACCTGTCATCTCCCTGTCTCCTGCCTCTCTCTCTCCACACAGATGCAGAACGTCATGTATGACTTAATCACAGAACTCAATGACCGGAGCGAAGACCTGGAGAAGCAGATTGGCAGCCTGGAGTCCAAACTGGAGCATCTCACCGCCAGCTTCAACTCCCTGCCGCTGCTCATCGCCGACACCCTGCGCCAGCAGCAGCAGCAGCTCCTGTCTGCCATCATCGAGGCCCGGGGAGTCAGCGTGGCCGTGGGCACCACCCACACCCCCATCTCCGATAGCCCGATTGGGGTCAGCTCCACCTCCTTCCCGACCCCATACACAAGTTCAAGCAGTTGCTAAATAAATCTCCCCACTCCAGAAGCATTACCCATAGGTCTTAAGATGCAAATCAACTCTCTCCTGGTCGCTTTGCCATCAAGGAACATTCAGACCAGGGAACGGGAAGAAGAGAGACCGAGCTAATTAACTAACTCATGTTCATTCAGCGTGCTTGGTCCGACATGCCTTGAAACCAGAAATCTAATCTCTGTTTAGGTGCCTCTACTTGGGAGCGGGAAGAGGAGATGACAGGAAGCGACGCCTCTGGCAGGGCCCTTGCTGCAGAGCTGGTGGAGAACAGAAATCCACGCTCAATCTCAGGTCTTCACGTGGGGGGTGGGGGTCAGATGCACTGAAGTAGCCAACAGTGAAGCCAGTCCAGAAGAGGGGTCCACTGGGAGAGGGGGTCGTGTCAGGCTTGGGGAATGGGTTCTTCACCATGGGGGTCTTTGAACATGCCCCTCTCTCTTCCTTTTGTCTACAGAAGCCTCTGTGTGACAAAGAGAAAAGAGAGCTGCCCACAACTTGCCAAAACAAATATACCCAAATCAGACTGAAAAAAAAAAAAGGAAAGACACAGACAAATAAAAAGCCAGGTTTTCCACTCAATATAAACACCCATATAAACCTGTGTGTTTGCAAGTGTGCACATGTATACACACACATCCGGCTTTCGGTCCAGGCCCTTTCTTATTTGAGCTTAATCCAAATAAAAAGGGACTTGACACCTTACCCAGCACACAGTAGGCACCCGTTCCATGGGTGTTGAGCTGGTTTGAATCTGAACGTGGGGTGCTTTCAGGTCAGGTAATTATCTAGCACCGGATGAATTCTGAGTTTCACTGAAGATGCGGGTCCCTTCAGACACAATGCACATTGCTTTGTCCTGGACATGCACCTTGCTTGATTTGAAATGGATGCCAAGCCAAAACTGTTGGCATTCAGGAGGGATAAGCAGGTTTCTAAAAATAACAGCACCTTCAGTTTTCTTCTTCCATCCAAACAAGCTGTGTTTTGATGGACCACATGACCAAGTGTTTGTATGTGTGGAGGGAGAGGACAAGAAATTGTGCGTGTGTGTGCAGACGTACAGACAAGAGCAACTCAATAACACCTTAGCGAATAGAAGGATGCTTTGGAGATTTGCTGAGCCGTATTTAGCTGGCAACAGGTTTCCAGCTCCAGGTGTTAGGAGTGTAAAAGGGCCAAGTGCCTCACCTGTGAGCCTCTGAGCTGGGAGGAGAAGTGATGAAGAGTGGCCCATGTGATCCCTCCTACCTGACCTGAAGTCATCTCAGAATGAAATGTTGTGGGAATAAAGGGAACCCTTAGGGAGCCCTGTGGGTAAGGTAAGAGGATGTAGATTTGTCGGTAGCCTGTTCCCACTGTGCCATGTTAATCTTGGTGCAAAAACTATTCTGATGCATCTCAAACTCCAAGAGACTTCAGAAACATCAAGGTTCAGTGTAGTGAGAGGCACTGAAAATTTTTTTCATTGATCCATAATCTAACCACACGTAACATTCGTGGTATGAAAACCGTCATGCTACTCATCACTTTTCTCATTCTGAGGTCTTTGGTTTCTGCCTGTGGGAAACTGAATGGCACTGTGTGGACTATTTCATCTGTGGAAGGTAAAACTAAAGAGTGATTTTTTGCTTGTGGTTGTCATCTTGGGTTTACCTTTGTAAGAAGACATCATCGCCCTTCTGAAGGCAGTGCCTTGGCATGGAGATTTTTCTTCTGAAGCACTGGGCCTGTTCTTCTAAGGACAGCACAAGGTAGACAACTGCAGAACCAAGGCCACTCTTTCAGGAGGATCTAGTCTCTTGCTAACCCTCTTCTGTCTCTTGCTATTGCTGCTGCTCCTTTGATGGTTTATAGTCTTAATGGCTTGCCTTGATAATTCCTTTGAACACTTTCATTAGTTGTTTTGCATACCAGAGATGCCACACTTGCTGTTGGCTTATTTTTTTACTTGTCCTTTTAACTGTTGATTATCTGAAAGTTTCCCCTCCTTTTTTTACGTCCCAAGAATGGTGCTCCTGTTTTCAGTGACAGTTCAGCTGAACATATAAGCAGATGTGTAAACAGATGAAATAACCATGCAGTTTCCTTGTGATATCAGTTCCATTTCACAAAGTGAAGACCACTGGTGGGCTGATCTGAGTGTGCCAATCCTGATCATTTAAACCTACAGCCTTCAACTAGTGATTCTTATTCACCTCTTTCATTCTGCTGTAACCCTGTGATATGTGTGTGTGTGGGTGTGGGTGTGGGTGTATGCACATATAGAGATTTAGTCTTAATTTCAACCAAATGACATGCAAGATTCCACTGCCACTCTTCCTGGCCAAAAGTGTGCACAGACTGTGATTTATCCATTGTGGTCTGCGAATAATTCTTTCACCCATCACTGATGCTCTCACTTAGGTAAACCCTAAAGACCAAACTAGCAACATTAGTCACGGAAGTGATGGGAGTTATTTCTGGTAGCAGCAGCCACTGGCATCCTAGAAACACATGGACATTTGTAGCATGACTTGACCTATTGGTAGTGCAATAGCTATACATGATCTTTATTCTTGGCAAAAGAATGCTTACGCTTCAGAAAAAAGTGATCGAACCTGCACGTTGATCCTGTAATAGCAAATGGAAGGCTATTCCTCTGTACTAGCATTTCAGCTTTATGTGGGAAATTTACCTGTTCTGCTGCAAGTACAATCAACCCTTGATGACTTAGGTATAATTATTCTGGGTGTAACTCACCCAAGTTTTCTTCCTACACCTTTCGGCTAATTCTACCACACCTCAGCATCACAGTCAGATGGGAAAAGGGGCAGGTGGATTCTTATGTCATGCCTTCTTGCACCTTACTTTCAAGTTTTGTAGTGGAGGAGGTTTAATTATCTGCTCAAGAATTGGCTATACATAGCCAGGCACAGTGGCTCACACCTGTAATCCCAGCATTTTGGGAGGCCAAGGAGACAGGATCACCTGAGATCAGGAGTTCAAGACCAGCCTGGCCAACATGGCAAAACCCCACATCTACTAAAAATACAAAAATTAGTTGTCATGATGGGTACCTATAGTCTCAGCTACTTGGGAGGCCGAGGCAGGAGAATAACTTGAACCCAAGAGTTCAAGACCAGCCTGGCCAACATGGCAAAAACCTCTACTAAAAATACAAAAATTAGCTGTCATGATGGGTACCTATAGTCTCAGCTACTTGGGAGGCCGAGGCAGGAGAATAACTTGCACCACTGCTCTCCAGCCTCTCAAGCAAGACTCCATCTTAAAAAAAAATTGGCTATATGTAAAAACTATTAATTATGGCAACCTCATGTCAGTGCTGTACTGATCAAGATCTGCCCAATCCTGGAGGACTGACCCAATGGCAGATCCCCTACTATAATCTTTCTGATAACTTGGTGACAGATAAAATCACTCTAATATTCCCTAAAATATCTAGACACTTGAATTAGAAATAAGGAGCCACCCCCCTCCCCGTTGCTTAAGCCATATTATAGCTTCATGTACTGTAAAGTCAGGGATGTACTGTGATACTTTAAGACCACTAATCTCAGTGGAATTCAGGACATAGCATTAGTTGGTAAATTATACCAGAGTAGGGGCTCACTCCTCCTTAGATTGAAGTCCAAATAAAAGTCTTCACCCTTGGATCAAAGGCCACATATATGTGATCATCATCAACAAATTGTCCTAAAGTGTCTATGAACTGTCCTTGCCATCTTCATAACGTGTAACTTCGTGACATCATGTCTCTAGAAGTGCTTAATACAATCCAAAAGAACGAGAGGGGGAAGGCCCCGAGCCACCACTGACCGACCTCAGCAGGGGCCAGTGGTACAACAACAATCTTGTGAATTAGGAGACATAGAAAATGTATGGGAAAGTAAATTCCAAGCGCTGAGCATGTACAAGCTATTTTTCTTATTAAAGGCCAAGAAGGAACAGCATTGAAGAAGTAATGATTTTAATATATTGGGGGATTTCCCCCTTAAATTTTTATAATTTCTTTGTGAATAAACAATCATGGAAAAGAAGAAACCTAGTGACACAAAATCAGATAAATAAAAATCTAAGACTGGATCCACATCTTTGGCCAATTCACATAACCACCTCATTCATCAGTTTCCCTGTACTTAAAAGAAGAGAATAGTTAATATTCTTAAGTACAAAGAATTAAATAGAGAACAAATGAAATCACCTTTGTCATCAACAGCAGCCTAGACTGACTGTATCTAGTTCACAACTTGATGTTACATTTGAATGCAGCAGTAGCTACCAAAAAGTAATTAGTGCATATTAAATAGTGGTAAAATCCGCAGGGAGAAATATGGGATTAACACATAGTTCCAGAACTTTCCCTTCCTCCAGAGTGCAACTCAACAAGCAGTACACTCCAAATTAAGAATCAGTGTTTCACCCAGAACAAACAGTGTTGCTCCCATCACAGTGCCACAGATGAAATACTGTGAAGTCATTGCACTACCAGTAGGTTCCTACTCTTTTTAAGTTACTGTTTTTAAATCCTAAAATATGTCCCCAGTTTTCTATATTCATTCTTCTCTGAGAGTTGCTAGAAGCAGATGAAGGATCCCTATTGACTCTGCAGGGTTGGATTTCAGTACCTTAGACAGCTACCTGGTGGCTTCCCGGGAGGCACGAACAGCCCCTTCTCTCCCCTTGCAGTCAGTGGGCTTGCTGACGCCCGACACTATCCTTTCCTTCTCTACTGCCGCCAAAGTAAACGTTCAGGAAATGGGATCATTGGCACCACTAAGAAAGGAGTTTACAGGGATAGCAATATTAACTGTCTGCTTGTGGTAGTAGAAAGCTTGTGTCAGGCTGCATAAATAGAAATTAACATTAAACTCCTGTCAGACAAGTAACATGTAGATTTTTATTGAAACAGACCGCAGCTTATTAAAAAGTACTCAGTGCAATGGTATATACATATATACAGATAGAAAAATATATAACTGTGATCTTTTTGTCTTATGCCATTACTGGAAACACCCAAACATGAACTGGAGCTCCCTCTGAACAAAACCATTGTCAAATCTTCAACTTATGACCTCCAAATCTAGGTGCCAAGTGCCCTGTGACAGTTGTTTACACACCTGAAAAATGTATCCTGGAAGCTGTAATCTTGGGCCTGGGCTATGTGTTGAAACAAACAAAAGAGACATCGTGACCAACCAAGAGGTGGAGGAAAAGCACAACATTCAACACCAACCTGCAGTTAGGATCCCAAAGAGATGTTGACATTTATAGCCAAAAAGAAGAAGTACGTATACATGTCTGAATCTGATCGAAGCAGCCAACGTCCAGCTTCACGAAGGAGGACGCGGAATAAACATTCTCTCGCTGTGTCATACTGTCTCGGTTTTTGAATCTCAACCAGGACTGATCCACCTTCATCAGATACGGTGTTTAATGGCGCAACAACTCAGTTTTGGTCCCAGACTCTCCGTTCTGCACTGGCCACAAGAGAACAGCAAAAGAGAATAACAGGATGTTCATGGAGGAAATATTTTCATGGCAAGCTCAGAAACTGAAGTGTTTATATTCAGAATCAGATG